CTTTTGCGTCCTTCTTTGTGATCGCGACTGATTTGACTTTTATTAAACTCAACCCTGTTGATCTCACAAGTGGTGCGATGCTGCAGGACCCAAGCCGGGGGATCGCCAAGTCGGGCCTGCGTGCAGCCGACCCCATAGCTCTCTCGATGCACGGCATGCTCCAGCGTTGCCGTAGCCTGCTGACTAGGATCATGATGTTACTTCAAGACCGAATAACTATACCGTGAATGACTTCAAATCAGCCCAGTCTTTGGTCACGGCCATATAAACCAAGACGCCTTCCGGCCGCTCTCTAAAGTACCTCCTAACATTACATGCTCCTCTGACTACCCCAAATGTTCTGCATTAAAACGTGTCAGATAAAGCCCCCAGCGACATTCCTTAAGCTGTGGCGTTGCTGTCCTTGCGGAGCATCTCTGCCACATCAGCGTCGATTCCGTCGTCTCCCCCAAGGTCAGGGAAATCGTCCCCGTCTAGCCGACGCCTCTTGTTAGATCCGTTTGCTGATACCGGAATGGACTGATACTGAGAAGCCAGGTTCGAAAGCATCTCGATGCCAGTAGCGGGAGGCGGCTGGAAAGCCTGGCTTGACGCCGATCGCGCGCGATCTGCCTCACCTTCTCGGAGAACAGGCGGCTCATCGTGGATCGGGGGAGGGGTCAACGCTTCCACGCTAGGCGGCGTGAAAGCCTCGACCGGAGGAGGCGTGAGCGCTTCTACCTCTGGTCTCTCTGGTTCTGGACTCGCAGATGTTCCGTTGCCCGGCGACTGAGAGGCCTCATGTGTTGGCAGTCCACGCATAATGGCGAGCTCGACCTCACGTCTCTTCTCCTCAGTTTCCGCCTTTCGCTTCGTCAGCTCGGCGTACTGTTTCTCGTCATTGACAAGCGCCTCCTGGTTCGCGCTTAGAAGCTTCTCCAACTCGCCAATCAGATCCTTGCGGGCCTTGACGCACTCGGCAACGGCACCCTCTGCGCTTGCCAGACTCTTGAGCAGACCATTCAGGCGTGCGGCATAGACAGGTGCCGAGGGAACTGGCGTGGACGGGTCGGTGAGCTTCTCAAAATCCTGGTTGGCGGTGCTGATGGCTGTCTTCGTGGGCAGGTTGAGCTTCGAAGCATTCTGGTACGAGGTTACGACTGGGATGAGCTCCGCTGGGACTGAAGGTCCGCCACCGATGCCAGGCCCTCCAAAGCTTGCCTTCGCGGTTCCACGGGCCTTGTCAAGCTCTGATAAATGTTAGTATGGCCCTTGAGCGGCCGTTGATGGACGTACCGTCGATGCGCGCTTCGATGGCTTGCTGGATGGGGGGTTCGAAAATGAAGCGGTCCTTCCAGACATCCACGACTCTTCTAATCTTGTTCTGAATCTCGGCCGGCGCGCCCTTGTACGCCAATGCCGTAGCTTCAGCGACGACGGGGGAGAAGGCGACTAAAAAGTCTTCCTTATGCCGCGCCTTTGACTGTTGGGTGACCTCTGTGGCGTGTTAGCGAGAATAAGGCAAGGCGGCGGACCAGCATCTGCTTACCGTTGGCAAGGTAGATCAGGCTCAGCCGTTTTGTGCTTGATGAGTCCCGCAAACGTTGAAGCCAGAGCTGGACTGTGCGATCCGCATGCCTCCTACGAGTTGTCGTGTCAGTGCCATCATTGTTACCATCCTGGAGCCAGAAAGCTTACTTGTGGAACATGATCCATTGAGCTGCCGTGGCGATACTGTCGTGACTCTCATTCAGTGCCGACAGCTTCGCCAGCACGGCGTCGTCGTTGTATGCCATGACTGCTCGGGTAAACCGCGTTTATGCCGCGAATGAGACGGGATGAGGGCGCGCAGTGAGCTCTGCGGACGCGACGTCGCCAATCCGAGTAACCCTGGGCTCCGTTTGATGGCGGTTGGCGATTGATTCCCGTGGAGGGCACCTTATGGCACTACCTGCGCTTTGGGTCTCGATGCGCAGGATTGGGGTGCTCCAGAGTGAGAAGAACCACAGCAGGCGCAAGAGGTCTACGATCAATCACTGGGGGCTGAAACTCCAGCAGCAAACACCCTGCTTGCGCAAAGTGTCCGGTTCAGCACATCAGGCGTCCTTTGAACGACGAAAGCAAATGGCGCGAGTGAGAGACTGCAGACCTATCAAATGCTTCCTTTTCTGAGATGAATTGAATGTTTTGCCGGGTAGAAGAAAAATGAAATGTATGAGCATCAGTTCAAAGGTCAAGATGAATCAAAACATTTGCTCCTGGCTCAGACGGATTGCTCTTACCTTAATAGAAATCCGATTCGCGGTACCGGGGTTATGCAGGTAAAGGCTGTGACTGGACTCCAGCCACGACGCAGCACGGACTTCCCTGATGACACAACGCAGGTACCTTTCAAGATACATTCAACTATCCGATGGGCAGAGCTCCGAATGCTGCACACGGCAATCACCGCTCCTGACCAAGGTAGCGTCACCTGTCAAGTACCTACTTACCTACCTATCATTTCGCACCTTCGCTCCTACCACGTCGACGTCTCCCAACCGAACCAACGAAACGACCTCGAATCAACGGAATCTTGGGCGATTTTACCGTCAGACTTGCTGCGAATACATCTGGGTTGCTGACGGCGACTCTCACGACTTCTACCATCCTTCTCCTTTTCCTTTCTATTTACACACAACACCACCAAAATGGCCGACAGATTCCCCTCGCTGGAGGACTTTGATTCGGGTGGTACGTGAAGACTCAGGGTACTGATGCCAAGTCTAACATCCTCACGTAGCCCAGACCGACATCAAGGACTCGGGTGCCTCCCCCTCTGCCGACGACTTTCTGGCCCGCGAAAAGGCCCTCCTTGGCGAGGATGCCAACCAGTTCGCCACGAGCGATGATGCCGTCGCATTCGGTTCCGGCGACGATGATCTTCTCGGTGGAGGCGGCGGCAGCAATGTCATCGCAGAGGAGTCTACATTCGAGTCGCAGTTTCCCGACCTCGCCAACCAGAACGAGGTTTGCATCTTCATCCCGGCCGCGTTTGCATTCACTGACAGCCCTCCAACAGGCCGTTGCCCCCGGTGCCATCCCCGGTGGCGGCATCACCGCCCCCAGCGTAAACTACAACTCTGGCTACAGCGCCTACGTCGAAGAAGAGGAGGAGCCCGCTGTCATTCGTGAATGGCGCGAGAAACGAGACGCTCAGATCGAGAAGCGTGCGGAGCAGTTCGCGGCGCAGCGCGAGGAGACCGTCAAGGAGGCCAGAGAGAACATTGACGATTTTTACAACAACTACAACGCCAAGAAGGAGAAGCAGATCTCCCAGGCACGGAAGGAGGCAGAGCAGTTCCTAGCCAGTCGCGAGGACACCGTCTCTGGGGGAACCAGCTGGGAGAGAATCGCAAAGCTGGTTGACGTGAGTGGAAAGGGCACCAAGGGCGGCGCCTCTGGCTCTGGCAAGGAGCGCTTCCGCGAGATCTTGGTCAGCCTCAAGAAGGATGAGAAGGCACCCGGAGCTAGTGGTTACTAGACATAATGGGAAATGACGAAGATGGGTGGGAGCCGCGCGTGGAGGTTCGATACCATACGCAGGCTACAGAGCACGTGTACTTTAGACGACCTTTTCTGCCAAAAAAAGATGGAGCAGGGAAAGGTTGCCATTTGGTAATTCTGACAGGCATAGTCATGAAACTTGATTGCGACGTCACTGTGTTCGTCGACTCTACATCGCGTGCAACAGAAGAAATGTGCTGTCTAGTGTTGATTCGGTCTATTGATCGCCTTACGAATCATACAATCTGCCCAACGGTCTTGCTAAAGGAAGGCTTATGTGCTCCATCTAGTTCTTGCCAAAGTAGCTGTTGTAGCCGAGGACCTTGCGGACACCACCGTACAGGGTGACTGTAAAGTGTAAGCAATACGACGTCACCAGAGGGATCCGGGGGGGGGACTGAGTAGGGAGACGTACGGCCGAGGGTGCCCCAGAGGGCGACGGTGTAGGGGATCATGTAGACACGGCTGCGAGGGTTCTGCGATAATCGAGTCAGTCCGCTGGTCGACCACCGTGGGAGGATTGCGGGCGTGGGACTGCGCCAGCCTGACGTACGATCTTCCAAAGGCGGTTGTGCTCCTTGTAGGCGGTCTGATAGAACTTCTGGAGCTCCGGGACCTTGTTCTTCGCGTTGACGAGACTGTGCGGACGTCAGAAATGCCCTCGTATGATGTGGTTCCTTGCGCTTCTCGGCGGGCAGCCATTGGCAATCACGATTCCCACGCAATCAACCGCCAGCTTTCTGGGATGCGGGTGTTCACGTACGCCATTTTGATCGATTCAATTGCGAGTTTCGCGGGGGATATTGGTGGGTTGCGTCGTCGTGGGCTTGCTCGTAGTATCGACTTTGAAGACGGTCGGTTCAATCAGGAACATGGGATGATGAGCCTGGATTGGTGGGCCGAAATGCCCGTGACTAATCCGACCCACTTTCGCGCACTCTGCCGACGAATGGAACGGAGCTCAAATCGGTTTACTGATGGAGCTGTTGGCAGTATTCTGGCAGAAGTTAGTTTTCTCCAGGATTCAATCTTTCAATCGACTACCCAGTTCCGAGATGCGGCCAGCACCGAAACCTGCACCCCCATAACCTGTCCGCTGCTATGCTTCACGGAGCGTCTCTTCGTACTCGCGTGCTGGTTGTACACTACGCAGGGCAATGCAATTGGCCTCACAATGTCTCCGTCACTTGAATAGAGCACGCCTCGGCCGGTGCCATCGATATCAAGGACTGGATGCAACCCGGCGAACGTTCTCAAATCTACCGAGGACAGCACGTGCCAGACCTTGCAAGCCTGGTTCTCGTATCCAGCCTTCCGTCTCAGAGTCTGTGACGTGCAACTCCGCGCGGCGGAATCCGCTTCCTGCAGCACAGCGTACCTTGCACACAAAACCCGATGCGCCGACAACACGGAACCATTTGTTGTCATTGGGGATATGCCCAGACATCCGAGTATCGGAAACGCAGAGAGGTCAGATGAGGCAGGCGGCAAGTGGAGGGCATATCTGTGTGGTTGACCTAAGCGACACCATCGACAACGATACTGACGCTTCGCTGTGGCTTGGTCTGCTCAACGTCGCCAAGCGGGAGCAGGGCAAAGATGGCGTGCTTGCCGTATGGGACGTGCTTCAAAGCCGGAAGGCATTGCGCGCCGCAGACGGCGAAGACGCAGAGCCCCTCTGGGCGATGATTCTGGAGGTTTTCATGGATGATGAGAGCCAACTTCAGCGCGTCGTCTCGTACGCCGAGTGGATGCTCGAGGCTCACTCTGCCCGGTGGCCGTCTCTATATCCAACAATTGTCTCCCAATGCCTCCGCAACGGCCAATACCGAAGAGCGATGCGATGGCACATGCGCCTGATGCCCAACTTCGACCCCGGCCTGGAAGCTTTCGGCACCATGCTCTGTCGATTCATTACAAACACCGAGGCTGGTTTGCAGCAGACCTTGAAGTCGCTGTATGTTTCGACTTGCCACCACAGCCTCTACGACGACGTCGTCCCCCTGCTGTATGAGAGCGGGCTCTCCCAGCTCTGCGCGGAGTGGCGCGGCCTGTTCCTTCTCTATGGCGACGTACCAAATCACGCCGTCAAGTCTAAGCCTTACCTGACATTTCTCACTCGTTACTACCCAGGCACGCCTCTCAAGTTGGAGGAACAGTTGGTACTGGAAGGGAGTATACCGGTGCGCTGGGGCATGCAGCGTGAATCCCTGCTGGATGTAATGGACGGTACGCACGAGGTGGACCATAGCTCGACGGGCAGGCGGTACAGCGATACGTTGGGCGCGCGTTGGTTTGCAAGCTCCTGGCTACCTCTAGACTTCGCAATTCACGCCGTCCACGCTCTTGGGGTGCGCCAAATCGGGCCTTTGTCACTGCAGTCTATTGCTCTACGCGATCCCACCCCCGATGCAGTCATGGGCCGCATAGAACAATTGCACAAAGTCAATATCGGCATCGGCCATTCGACCTACGCTCTGGCGGTCAGACATTTTGCAGAAACCGCCCAGCACGAGCTGCTCCACGAGCTGCTACACACCGACATACATCCGGAAGTGTTTGACGATCTGGCCACACTCGGAAGCATCCGCGACGAAGCCCTCCATGCGGAAAATATGAGGACGTATCACTTGCTGCTCGCCATACAGCCCGCAGTTGCTCAAGAGTCAATCGATACCACGTCGAACCTCCTGCTGCAGCAAAGTCTTCAACATGGCCAGGCCCGCCATGCGCTTGCCCTAATGAGGGACATGCGTTCCATGGACATCGATCTCTCCGCGACGTCTATTGAGCATATCTATTCCAACATTCTGGAACCCTTGTCTTGGGATCCGGATATAGCATTTGTCACGTGGGGGCCCTTGCGAACGGCCATCGACTACTTGAACCATCTGATGCTGCTGCGGGCGCCTGTACCTGCACGCTACTGGCAAAAAGTGCTTTTCGGTTTGGGGAAATTCGGACGATTCGACGATGTAGAAGACGTCTGTATTGGTCTGCTCGACGCATATCACAATGGGCACACAGTGCCGGGCGGGTTGCTGGGTGTGCACCCTGCGGATGCCCCGCCATGCAATGCTCTAAGCTCGAGGAGGGCGCTGCACATCCCGGCAGATCTGCCCGTCACACACGGTTATCACCCTTTGCACAAAATCTTTGAAAATCCGAAGTTACAAGTAGCCATAGCCCGATGGGGTTTCAAACGCTCCGTCTCGCAGGCGTCGGCCTCGACATCAGTGGGAGACGACAAGCTGGTTATTCTGCGGGGTGTCCGGCTACTTGGCCAGCTGCAGAAGCGCGGTGTACTGTTGCAGGAGTCTGCCATTCGACGCGAAGTCATCAGACTCTTAGCTCATCTCCTTCATCCTCAAAGAAAGAAAGCAACAGTTAGACTACCCGACCTGGCTGCTGTGAGGAAACAGATTAATGAAGCTCTCGGTCAATCTAAAGGGCAGGGCTTGATGCCTGAAATCAGTGTCCTGGAAGGACTGATTGTGGACGTCGTCCATAAGCGACGCGGGAGGACGCACCGCGACTTAGGATAAGAACAAAAATTCGCTCAACATTTGTCTAGAAGAAAATCATACATTTAATTTACACCTCGTCTCTCATCTCACCACATGTCGTTCCCAGCGCCTACTCGTCGCCATGCTTTTTGGGCTTAATCACTAGCAAGATGATTAAGCCGGCAATGATGATCAAGAGCAACAGTATAATTTTCCGCTTTGTCGTTTTCTTCTGGTATCCGGCGGCAACGACCAGCTCCTTCTCGGCTCCCTTTACGTCCGTGGCCATGCGCTCGACGTTGTAGTCTATCCTGTCCAGCATGGTGCCCTGGTCGATCACCATGTTCTGCAGGTCGCGGAAGATGTCGGCCAGCTCAATGATACCCTGTGCAATATCCTCAATCTCACGTTCGCGCTGGGTGATGGCTGTGTCATTCGATTGGAGGAGCTTTTGCTGTGTAGCCTGGAGTGTTGATTGTGAAAAGGACCTGTCCGCGTCCGACTCGAGCATTGAAGGGTCCATATAGGAGCTTGAGGGCTGCGGTGTTGATCCCCTATCCGCACTGGCCACGCCGCCCCCGAGGCCGCTCATCCCGCGTAGTTCTGTGTTGTCATCAATGGGCTGTCACGGGACATGTGCCAGAGCTCGCACTTACTTTTCAGATATGCGCTCTGCTTCTTCCTCAACAGCGCGCTAGCTTCTTGGACTCGTGAAGCCAATGATATCTGTATGTTCTTGGCCATCGTCTCTTCGGCGCTGGTAATGGTACCTGACTGTTTCGATTCCCTGACCATTTGTTCGACCTTTTGAATGCACCGATGGCAGTCATGAAAACCTTTGGTGATTTGCTGTGTGAGAGTCTCGATCTCTCTTTCCTCCGCCTTCTTGGTGTCCTCGTCATTGAAACCGGGTAGCACATGCTTCTGGTGTAAGCGCTCAAGAGCCTGGCTCCTGGTGGCGATGTCCGCCAGCAGGTCGGTGATCTCATCGGATACATCGGCCCAGCGAGGTGGAAGGAGATCCATCTCTATGACGGCATCGCCATCGTCCTCGAAGGCGCCAGCCGAGAGGAGGCCGCGGGTGTCGTCGCTCCCACTAGCATAGCTGCTACCCCCAAAGGCATCGCCGAAGCCATTCCCACCGGCTGCACCACCGTATTTGGAGCGTTTCGTAGGATGGTGTGCATACGTTTGCCGATAGGAAATATACCTGCGGCGGGAGGCTGGGTGTCAGCGAGAGGCGGGACGAGCAGCTTCGCAGGTGCCTTTGAGGGATGCGAAGCGCATGCGGACAGGCTTACAGGTTCGTGCGGTCTCGCCACATGGCGGACGCCAGATAGCTGTGATAGTACTCCTCAGCCTGGGGTCCTTTGTCGCTCGCTGCGCGGGCCGCTCAGGGTCGTCGTCATGAACGGAGGGTCGTGAAGGGAGAACAGGACACCATTGGCGTGGGTAAGACGCAACGTGACGAGTGCCGACGAGTCGCGAAAGTGTAATAGGTGTCGGTTGTCAAATACGCAAGGGCGGACACACGTCAACGGGAGTTGTCAAGGGCGGCTGAACGTGTGCGCGCTGTCCGGAATGGCAAGGTACAGCTCCAAGACTCGTTTGGCATTACTTTTCGCAGGTATGCGCAAAAGGCATGTGGTTTGTAAGTTGCCTAAGTCAGACAGGTCGGCAAGTGACAGACAGCTTCTTGAATCTCGAGGTGCTCGTGCTCCAGACCGGGGATTCGCCGACAGGTCGCATTAATATTACCTAGGTACATTACCTTGGGTACACTGTTGGAATTGGACAGGTATCTCCTGGTGGAACAGATTGCATCAGGCCTGCCATCTCCTTCCTTACGTACCTACCTACTACCTACATACCCAGGTAGAGGCAGGCACTGAGGCGCCTGTGGACCGACCGGCAGCTCCTGACTGTCCGTGCTGGCGAGACTGCTCAGTGCCTCACTACCAGGCCCAGTACTTAGCATCTACGGATACCTACCTTAGGTATGCAGTAGATTGAGGTATAAGCAACAGGCAGCGTGCAAGTTACAGTGGGAACTTGACTGCCGAATTCCCACCTTGAGGCAACTGATATTACTTTTTGTCAGCTTGCATCATGATTAATGTACCTGGAAAATTAAGCTGTGGGTTCCATGTTGGTACACAGTGACACCTGGCACGCCTGGCAGTCATCACCCTTTACTATTTCCATGTCTGGAAGGGTCCATCCCAAAGCCGTTCTGAGGACAGAAGTTCAGTCCAACTCACAGGTACCACACGGAACGGTGTATCTACCTACAAATACCTACCTACCATAGGCACCTTAGGCAAGGTTTGCAGAGCTCATGGGGCTCTGTACCTTACCTGGAACTCTTTAACGAGGGTGCCTTACCTACATAAGGCCTATAGGTAAGTGAGGACAAGACTGGAAATGCCTTGGAGACTTCGAAAGGCAGCTTAAGCGCAGCCTGGTCGACATGGTTCAACACCTGATGCTCCAGACGCCGGCCAGCCTGTCAGCTTCCAGCCTTCGACGCCCGGGGCCCCCCTATCGCCCGACCACATTCCCCCCTTCCGCCCCATTCCTCCCCACGAGCTGCACACTAAAGAAAAGCTCGACCCCCAAGGCATCCAGTAGCATCCAACTCGGCCAGGACCTGAGAACAACTCTTGCGAATATCCTCCGGCTTCAGCAACTCGGCCCCCATTACATTCGGACACATCAGACTCCCAAATATCCTTTCCGCAATCCATAGTCTATATTCGCCATGGTCAGTAATGTCGCTTTCCAACTTTACGCCCTGTCCCGCATCGACACACCATCTTCAGGAGCCAACCCCGCGGCTGAGGGGCTGTTGATTGTTGACACTCATCGCCGCCGCCCATGCTAACGCCGTCTCTTCATTCAGGCTGACTCCCTCACCGAAGAGCAAGTCTCCGAGTTCAAGGAGGCCTTCTCCCTCTTTGTGAGTCCCTTTCTTCATCTCGCTGCCATCTCTTGCTCCTGGCGACAGTCGTGGCCTTTGCTAACCCACACAAGGACAAGGATGGCGATGGTCAGTGCCTCACCCCTTTTGCTCCCCTTCGATGCGCTCCTGGGAACGCCGTTCGCGACCGTCGATACACCAGCGGCATTCGATGCCGCCGTCGAGGCATGTAGAATCGAGCTAAAGAGTTGGACAGGCCAAATCACTACAAAGGAGCTGGGCACCGTCATGCGCTCTCTCGGCCAGAACCCCTCCGAGTCGGAGCTCCAGGACATGATCAACGAGGTCGACGCCGACAACAACGGCACCATCGACTTTCCCGGTAGGTGGACACGCGGAATCCTGCGTCACACAATACAGACCCGCTGACTGTCCTCCAGAGTTCCTGACTATGATGGCCCGCAAGATGAAGGATACAGACTCCGAAGAGGAGATTCGCGAGGCTTTCAAGGTTGGCTACGACGGTGCTTTTCCGCTGCGATTGATGTTGACTCTGAGTAGGTCTTTGACCGCGACAACAACGGCTTCATCTCCGCCGCCGAGTTGCGTCACGTCATGACCTCCATTGGTGAGAAGCTTACCGACGACGAGGTTGACGAGATGATTCGCGAGGCCGATCAGGACGGCGATGGACGCATTGACTGTGAGTGTCGATTGATTGGTATGCGTCATGGGCACTAACAGGCGGTGTAGACAACGAGTTCGTCCAGCTGATGATGCAGAAGTAAGGCGTCAGGTTGTTCGAGCAGCGGCGCCAGGCCTAGAACACTGGCGACGTGACGTTTTGTTTCTTGCGAGGAAAGACGTGGGTAGGCCTTCGGGTCTGGTTTGGTTGGGGGGAAAGTAATGCATCCCTTTTCGACGGCGCAAGTTTCCTTGCTCAAAGACCCAGCGGAAGGACGAGTTTGACATTCGGACGGATGGAGGACTCTATGATTACGTCTCATTACCAGCACGCTTGCCTGTCCCGTTCCTGCTCTCATGATGCTTTTATAACGAATACACACACCCCACAGACAGAGACACAAGACGTATTTCGGTGAGACCGGGGTTGCACTTAGAAGGGGTTTCCTCTAAGACGACGAATGCAAAAGTAAAGTAGCACCAGGCGGACCAAGCAGTATGTGAAGTTGTTGCATGTCAGGTTTTGAGAAGTAGTTGTCGATCGTCTCGGGATGTCAAAGTACTCAAACAATGGTCGGGCAAGCGAATCACAGGCGTGAGATCAAGCCCAAAACCTCTTCAACAGAGCTAATCACATGTGCCTGACGCGGCAGAACGATCTGACTTGGCAGGGCTGCAGGCACTGCCTCGATTTGACCCTCATACCTAGGTAAGGCAGCTAGGTAAGCTAAGAAGAAAGAAACAAGCGACGACGGGAGCTACTGGACCACACCGTGGCCGACTCGAATGGACATTCGCGGCTAAGGTGCCTACTGAAAGGCCCGCGACAGTGCCCCTAAAACCCCTGAAGCTTACCGACCCGCTACGGGAATAATTTGCGCCTGACATATAGGGCCGCACTCTAACATCGGCTCCACTGACGTGACGCTGGGACCTGCCAGTGCCAGGCTGGAGACCTGCTGTACCTGCACCAGCACCGATACGTGCACCGTCGAGCCCGCCCGGACCTGACATCCTGGGCATGCCAATCTGGTCTATTCGTCGACAATCGAAAGTCTGCTGCAACTCGACCATTCCAACATCTCGACGCTGGTGACTCGCGAAACGAGAGCTCCCGACGAGCCTGCATCCTCGTCCATTTCACCCGTAGGCACGATAAGCCTGTTCCAGGCCCTACACGGGCCGCCCCTTGTTGCCCGACATGAGTTCCTGTACGAGAGCAGCCCCTGCCCCTCTATGCCGCTGGTCTGGAGCTGACGTGCATTATACCACAGTGAAGCAATTCATCCGCAACGTTAGAGCCGCCAAGACCATTGCCGACGAACGAGCTGTCATCCAGAAGGAAAGCGCTTCTATTCGAGCAAGTTTCAGGGAAGAGAGTGGCGATCATAGCGTGAGGTGCGCATCCGCTCCGAGACGCCCAACCCAAGGTATCGGGACCGTGGCTGACTGTCGAGTAACAGAAGGAACAATGTCGCCAAGCTCCTCTACCTCTTCACCCTCGGCGAGCGAACTCATTTCGGTCAGATTGAGTGTCTGAAGCTGCTGGCCTCTCCGCGATTCGCAGATAAGCGCCTGGGTCATTTGGCAACCAGTTTGCTACTTGACGAGAATCAGGAGGTGTTGACACTGGTCACAAACTCGCTCAAAAAGTATGGATGTGATGCCTTTGGTGGCTATACAGTCGTGAACTAACACGCTGCAGTGACCTCTCCCACTCGAACCAATATGTCGTCGGCCTGGCCCTCTGCACCCTCGGCAACATTGCATCTATCGAAATGTCCAGAGATCTATTCGCCGAAGTTGAGGCTTGTATTAACACGTCGAACCCCTATATTCGGAGGAAAGCCGCCCTTTGCGCCATGCGTATATGCCGGAAGGTCCCCGACCTCCAGGAGCACTTCGTCGACAAGGCCCACCAGCTCCTGTCCGACCGGAATCATGGTGTCTTGCTTTGCGGTCTGACTCTGGTCACCAGCTTGTGCGAGGCCGACGAGGAAGAAGGTGGGGAGGAAGGGATTGTCGAAAAGTTCAAGTCCTTCGTGCCGGGCCTTGTCAGGACCCTGAAGGGCTTGGCAACATCCGGCTATGCCCCCGAACACGACGTGACGGGCATCACCGACCCTTTCGTCCAAGTCAAGATTCTGCGTCTGCTGAGGGTGCTGGCTATGGGAGACGCGCAGGTCACCGAGCAAATCAACGATATTCTGGCTCAGGTTGCGACGAACACGGACTCGTCAAAGAATGTGGGAAACTCTATCCTGTACGAGGCTGTGCTCACGATTCTGGACATCGAGGCCGACTCTGGTTTGCGCGTCCTTGGAGTCAACATCCTGGGCAAGTTCTTGTCCAACCGCGATAACAACATCCGCTACGTCGCTCTCAATACTCTCATCAAAGTCGTGGCCATCGAGCCGAATGCCGTCCAGAGGCATCGCAACACGATTCTCGAGTGTTTGAGAGACCCCGATATCAGCATCAGGAGGCGCGCTTTAGAGCTAAGCTTCACCCTTATTAACGAGAGCAACGTCCGGGTTCTTATCCGGGAGCTGCTCGCCTTCCTCGAGGTCGCCGACAACGAGTTTAAGCCCACAATGACCAGTCAAATAGGCATCGCTGCGGATAAGTTTGCACCCAACAAGCGCTGGCACGTCGATACTATGCTTCGGGTACTCACTCTCGCCGGTAACTACGTCAAGGAGCCCATCATGTCCTCCTTCATCCGATTAGTCGCCACCGCGCCCGAACTGCAGACGTACGCGGTTCAGAAGCTCTATACGAATCTGAAAAAGGACATCACCCAAGAGAGTTTGACGCAAGCCGGAGCATGGTGCATTGGCGAGTACGGGGACGCTCTGCTGAGAGGAGGTCAGTATGAGGAGGAGGAGCTCGTGCAGGAGGTGAAGGAGCATGAAATCATTGATCTCTTCTCGACCATCTTGAACAGCAACTACGCCACCCAGGTATCGACCGAGTATATCGTCACGGCCCTCGTCAAGCTCACAACGAGACTGTCCGACTCGACGCAGATCGTAAGAGTTCGCCAGCTGTTGGAGATTCACCAAACGAGTTTGGACGTTGAGGTGCAGCAAAGAGCCGTGGAGTACAGCAACCTCTTTTCGTATGACCAGATCCGCAACGGCGTCTTGGAGAAGATGCCGCCTCCTCAGATCAAGGAGGAGTCGCGCGTGCTGGGCCCCGCAACGACCAAAAAGTCTGCAAAGGCTGCGAACAGGAGATCCCGCGTTGTCAAGCCCACTGAGCAGGATCTCCTATTCGATCTCATGGACACTCCTCCCACAACTACACCTGCTCCTGGCGGTGCCTCCAACACCGATCTGCTTGCCGACATTTTGGGCGGCACATCGTCACCTCCTACTTCCGCCTCTCCCCAGCCGCAACAATCCAATGTTGCGTCGATAATGGACCTTTTCTCTCCAGGCCCTGCTCAGCCAGCGGCCTCCCCTGCCCCCGTCGCAGGCGGCGGCTCAAACATGGACCTGATGTCCTCAATGGCTGCCGCAACCCCTCCACCCCAGCCGCAAGCTGCTCCGCAGGCACCGGCAGGTCTACCAGTCTACGACAACAATGGGCTCAACGTCAGCTTCCAGGTTCAGCGCAATGCCGAGGGTCTTGTCCAGGCCATTGCGCGGTTCCGAAACTCGGGTGCTGGTCCTTTGTCAAACGTGGGACTGCAAGCAGCCGTTCCTAAGACGCAGAAGCTGCAGCTCATGAGCATCTCCAGTACGGAGGTCGGCCCGGGTGCTGAGGCCACCCAGAAAATGATTGTCTCTGGGGCCAAGGGAGTAAGTCAAGTTCGTGGCCGATTGATACAGACAAAGCTAACTGTACGCAGCCATTGCGTTTACGCTTGAGGATTGGCTATGCGCACCCATCAGCCGGAGAAGTGATGGACCAGGTGAACTGGACCGAACCATCTTGAGGCGGCGGCCCACCAAGATCAAATGAGCATTGATGACTTGAGCTTGTGTATTTAATATGGCAAGGCAAGCGTGATCAAAATAGATGAATCTGCAACGATGAAAAGTCGAGCAGCGTTCTTAGTACTGGTGCCTCGAAAGCATATTGAGATGGATTGTAGTTTGGGTTTGATGTTCAGGGCGTTTTGCGGGGACTGAGCCTGACGGGCGTCCGACGTCCCACAGCATTTAAGGTACAAAGCACCTGGCGGGAACACCAATTCTTACTCAGGGCTTCAACGGCCATTCCTCCACTAAAGCGTGCTCTCTGTAGCGATCAAGGTTACAATAATCTCGTCCTATATAATAGCACCGTTGACGCGCTTGCATAATTTGCCAACCTTTTACTGACAGTCCCCGCAGCGAATCCTGGGAGTTGCCATATTATGTAAGCGACGTATTTACGAAGCGTAGCCGACCTTACCCGACTTTGAAATTCCGATCCCCCGATAACAAAATCTTCCCGGATCAGCCACCTCGTCGCAACTTTACTCCTTCGGCGTAACTTGTATCCTTCTCCCCTCTAAAGAACCGCTCATACCTCCGTCACAATGCTGGCCGCCCGTACTTTCGCTGCGCCCATGAGGCGGCAGGTTCTGCGCGCTGCCCCTCGCGCCGCCGCCGTTTCCCAGTTCCAGGTACGCAGTTGATAGTCCCCGATCCCCCGATCTGGCCCCTCCAGCAGCTCCACGTACAACCCGCAGCGTCGAGCCGCAACATCACCATCTGACGGCTAGCACAGCGTTGGCTAACAAGAGAAGCAGAACTCCAGATTTTACAGCGAGAAGGTCGCCAAGTTCAACGGCGTCAAGGACTCTAACGTACGTACACCCTCAAGCTCGTTCCCGTTCCAGATGCCCCACATGGTTTGCGCGCAATAGGAATATGTCGCTCTAGTTGTACACGCTGGACAGCTCAATTGGCGACGCTCAATCCGCAGTACTCCAGATTTTTGAGGCACTAGCATGCTGATTTCGTCGCGCAGGGCAACTACCCGGTCAGCTTGATTGAGGGTGACGGAATCGGTCCCGAGATCTCCCAGGCCGTCAAGGACATCTTCGCCGCGGCAAAGGTACGTTTGGTCACGGCACTTGCGCTCCTTTTCTCAGCAGTAGACCTGGTACTGATCATTCAGAAAAGGCCCCCGTCACTTGGGAGCCTGTCGATGTCACTCCCATCCTCAAGGATGGCAAGACTGCCATCCCCGATGCCGCCATTGAGAGCATCAAGCGCAACAAGATCGCCCTGAAGGGTCCCCTCGCCGTATGTATATACCTACCAAGCCAGGATCATCAGCCAGTTTTACTCACCGTTTCTCGCTGCAGACCCCCATTGGCAAGGGCCACGTCTCCCTCAACCTGACTCTCCGCCGCACCTTCAACCTCTTCGCCAACCTGCGTCCCTGCCGATCCGTCGCCGGCTACAAGACCCCCTACGACAACGTCGACACCGTCCTGATCCGCGAGAACACCGAGGGTGAATACTCTGGTATCGAGCATGTCGTTGTTGATGGTGTCGTCCAGTCCATCAAGCTCATCACCCGCGAGGCCTCCGAGCGCGTCCTCCGCTTTGCCTTCCAGCACGCCCGCGAGATTGGTCGCAAGAAGGTCCGCGTTGTTCACAAGGCCACCATCATGAAGATGTCCGACGGTCTCTTCCTCAAGACCGGCAACGAGGTCGCCAAGGACTTCCCCGATATCGAGTTCGATGCCGAGCTCCTCGACAACACCTGCCTGAAGATGACCACCGACCCTCTCCCCTACAACGACAAGGTCCTCGTCATGCCCAACCTGTACGGTGACATTCTGTCCGACATGTGCGCCGGTCTCATCGGCGGTCTCGGCCTCACCCCCTCCGGCAACATCGGCGACGAGTGCTCCATCTTCGAGGCTGTCCACGGCTCCGCCCCCGACATTGCCGGCAAGGGCTTGGCTAACCCCACTGCTCTCCTGCTCTCCTCCATGATGATGCTGCGTCACATGAGCCTCGGCGAGTACGCCGACAGAATCGAGAAGGCTGCTTTTGATACCCTCGCCGAAGGAAAGGCCCTCACTGGTGACCTGGGTGGCAAGGCCAAGACGGACGAGTTCGCTGGCGCCATCATTTCCAAGCTGTAAATACCTGCATCGGTGGATACCTGCATTTCCTGATAGAGATCCGGGATACCTGTAGTAGACTGTACATCAACGGATATTTTCTTGCGTTAGAGCCATAGTCGTAAATGAATGAATTGATGAATCCCGACAGAAGCTGACGGTGCGCTCTGTTGCCCGGCGTGACCCAGATCCATGTGGGTAGGTGTGCAGGTACAGCTCGGTCTGGAAACGTAGTCAATGGGCGCAGCCAAAATCGGGAGAGAATCCTTCCGTTTCAGGCGACGACCGGCCGAATAAATGGCTTTACGGCACAAGGCCGACGACTACCTGCCGGATAACGGTAGGGGTTGCGGTAGCTTGTTGTCTACGGCGGTTTCTGGCTTTGCGGCCCACACGGGCCCGGGTGTGTGTGTGGGTGTGTGCGCGCGCGACGGCGTATGTCATCCAGTGTCCGACGTCGGGCCATCAAAGGGCGTCTCAACTCCAATATCTGCTAGAGTCCACAGCGTCACCAAATGCGTGGCCTCGGCCGATCAAGACTGTTTTGTGTCGTTTCAGGCCCTCACTCTCGTGGGTTCCGATCAGCCGCTAGAATGGAGGCAACCCGGAGTAAAGAATCGCACATTGAACGCACCGCAAGCGACCCGCGTGATTCAGTGAGAGATCATTTCCGTTCCCTCTACTATGTCCACCAAAGTCCTGCGCTGACGTGGATCAAAGCAAATCCATTCTGTGACTCTGGATCAAATCGGTCAAATTAATGATAACACGCGGCTGTTTCGCCTAGGGATCAGTGACGAGTCAAGCATCAAGGTACGCATCGTGCGGCAACAGAGCGCCAAACGCATCACATCCTTGGCACATGCTGAACCAACTCCAGTTTCTCCCTGGGCAATGGCTTGATACCTTCGTTCCCAACATCCCCAAACCTGGCGGCTTCACCATCACCAGCCCTCCCTCCAAAGCCAGTCTCCCAACCGCGTCGTACCTCGAGCTTGCGGTGCAGAGATCAACAAACCCTCCGGCCGCCTGGCTTTGGGAGGAGGCATCCATCGGGACATTAATCAAGGTTCGCGTGGGCGGCGCCTTCGTCTGGCCCCCGCCCGATGTTGATCTCTCATCTGTTCGCCGAATTGTGTTTGTGGCCGGCGGCGTCGGCATCAACCCGTTGATGAGTATTTTAAGCCATTTATCTGAGAAAAATTGTCCATACGACATCCACTTCTTATACTCTGTGAAGGCACCTAATGATCTCGACTCTGAGAAGATTTTATTTGTGGAACGCCTGGCCACCATCTATGGACGGGGGAAGGTCAGCGGCCGTCTGCAGCTGTTTCTGACTGGCTTGAACAAGCCGGTTGACAGGAACGTCCTGTCGTGTAACGAGATGGACGTCGGCTTTCGGCCCCAGCGAATCACTCTGGAGGACATTTCTGCAGCTTTGGGACCAAAGGAGGATCACGGCTCGGCAATAGTGTATGTCTGCGGGGTGCCATCGATGACGGACGAATTCGTCCGTAAGCTCACTTCTTCTAGTGGGCTGGACCTCGGAAGCGATCGAGTGCTCTGCGAAAAGTGGTGGTAGTTTCGTAGATTCATGTGTTTGCTTGCTTTGAGTGCACGCTTTGTCGTGCTACGAACAATTCCACACAGTCGATCGACTAGAGTAAATTCCGCCGCGTACCAATGACCTAAATTCATTACACATCAAGGCCATGGCAACCTTCACCTCCCAAGAAAATTCCGGTTGCACAGCACCTGCTGCCTTTGACTAAAGTTCCGCCAGGAACCCCTTATCGTATGATAGTTGTGACATCGCCACCGCCTTGTCGTCTCTGTGATCAACGACTATATGAAATCATCGTTTTCCCCTCCCAGCGAGAACAAGGTCGTATGCAGAGTCGTTGGCGCGTTGGGTCCGTTCAGATTCACCCTGCCTCGTTTGCGGCGCAGTGGTGATGGACTCCTGAACCATTCTCCCTCCGAAATGCTTATGTTGCTAAAGTTCTCAATGGTCAACGAGCTTCCCTCGCCAGGGGCGTCGACATCGAACCCCGAAGCACCTCGCTGACGTGTCGTTCCGACCAAGTATTCCTGCCGCCCAATGTGCTTGAATGCCTTGGAGCCGCCCGAGGAAGGGGGCGTTGTGTCGTAGTCAGAAGGTGACGGGGGTATCGTGGGAGGTGCGGGGAGCGGGCGCAGCGGCTGTTCCGTTCCGCCCGGTTCCTTGGAGGCTTGAGGCAAGACAACTCGCCTAGCAACTCCAAGCTCAATCTCGTCGGCCCCGCTCGACTCATCGGCATATGTTTGGAGGGAAGGTGTGACGGAGGGAGCTCGTGATGACTCCAGGGAAGGTCTGCGGATAGGCACTTCAATGTCCGGTAAAGGTGGCAACGGTCTCGCAAGATCTGATACCTGCCTGATATCGCGAGATAGCTTGCTTGGCTGCGGCAGCTCCAGTCGAGCGGGTTTCGGGGGCATTAGCTTGGGTGGTGTAGGAAGCTTGAACGCTTTCCGGTCCCGCCTGTGGCTGCTCTGAGAGACGCCGCTTCCAAAAACAGAACCGTCGGCTGGGTCAAAGGCGAAATTGGTTGTCTCGCTGCTTCTTGCTGGCTCGGCTGGCACGCTGAGGGTGTCTGGCGGGGTTTCCTCTGTGGTTTCTTCAGTGAATCCCGATGATGCAATGAGCTCATTGCAAAGAGATTCTGGCACGAGATTCAATTCCTTCAAATGACACCAAGTACGGTAGAAGAAGCGGAACGTGGCGTATGGTATGTCCACGGCGTCGACAAGACGCCAGTCATAATAAGTCAAGTCTTGGGGCGTCTCAATGAGACCACCCGTAGGAGAGCTGCCACCCAACATGAACATCTTGAACTTGAGTTGCCCGAATAAAATGGGGGAACTTACGTGATTCCGTAGGCGTCCTGGTTTCTGAAATCGGCAAGCTCGGGGGACCTCCTCTTCCTTCCCTTTGAACGAAAGACCTGAAGCTCGACGAGGCCGCCGTCCATGGCGGCAGGCGTATCCTTGCCGGAATGAGGCGTGAAATGGAAGAATCTCTTCTCGACGCCTTCCCGCCTGTAAACCATCCCGCTTTCTCGGTATGTCCATTTATTGTCGGGCACGTACAAGGCGTGGCTGACAATCTCGATGGTGCCGGTCTGTGACTTGATGCCCCACGATGCAACTGGGCGACCGTTCATTACCAGCCTGAAATATAAGTACCTGGCGTCGGCGGGCGGTCTGTTGATTCCATAGCGGATGTGGAACTGGGCACCTGGGGCGGACGGGATATATACCGTGCTCTGCGCTCGACACTTTTCAGGGGTGGCGTGCAAGCTCGAAGCTGGAGACGACGTTGGGCTGGTCAGCTTCAGTCCACGAAGGCTAACAGAAGACGCGTCTGGGTGAGGAAGCTCGGGTAGAGGAGGCTCGGTGGGATTGAGGACGACAGAGACGTCAATCCCACGAAGAGTTGGCATCTTCTCTGACGGGGAACGCGGCCAAGTAAGGCTGGTCAGTTCCCATGCACGTAGGTGGTGGTGGTGACGCGGGGTTGGGTTTTGGCAGGATTCTCACCATTGAAGAGGTGAGAACGTCAAAATTATCTTTGGCAGGTACTACTGGCTACCTACCTAGGTCGGCAGACCCTCTGGGCCGCGCTCTCCTTAAGCAGCACCTACCCAGACATCGCTCGCCACCTACCAAAAAAGAATAGACAACTTGTTCCTCGTGCGTTACTCGGTTGTATCTCGAACCTTCCTGCAGCATCCGATACCCCTTGTCCTGCATTATGTTTTTCCCCATTAGTTCGATTTGCGGAGGCGTTTCTATCCCTATTTCGTCCCGGGAATTCAAATGACTGCTTTACACTAAACCCAGCAACTCTTCGCTGCCGAGCGCCTCGATATTTCAAAACATGTGCGGACGGATTCAGACTGAATCCCTCTGTACTTTAACCATGCATCTGCCTCAAGGACATCCGTCCTATATAGATTTGAGCCCGAAGCCCGCCGCTGTTGTCGTCACTAAACCGTATCCGATGATGGTCCTTGGATGGTTGTGTCAGTTTCAAGAACAGTAGCATTCCCAAGTGCGTCGGCATTCTGCTGTCACTCGTATACCCGGGTTTCCAACATCGCTAGTTATCGTCACGACGCAAGCCGATGACTAGAAAAGATCGGTGGTTTGTCATTGCTGCGTACAACTGCCACTTGTCCGGTTCGCGCCGTATACATTTCTTTCACTGTGTCGCAAAGCCACCCTTTCTGGTTCAAATCCCCGTCACGGCCTTGGTGTCATCCTCCTTGCCGATAAGTCCCAGATTGCGTATTTGACCGACACTCGGGGCATTGTCTCGTGCGCTGGCTGACTCGGCCTTTCGGTAGGCGGCCTGGAGTGCCCTCGTTCTCGCAGCCTGTATAACTATGGTGAGCCCTTGGCCGCCCAATCGACGCCAGGTCCCTGGAAACCTACCTCCTTCTTGTGATGCAGACACTCGTAGTAGTCCTCCAGTGCCAGACCACACTTCTTCTTGCCGGAATGGTCCTCGCCAGTGGTGTTCACAACGTAGCAGCCGAGGAGCTCCTGCCAGAAGGGAAAGCACCGCGACGGGCCTATAACGATGATCCCGAGTCAGTAGCGCATCAAAATCTTCGGAACCGAGCACATGCCTCCGTGAAGACCGTATCCAGAGGCCATTATGATTGTGCAGACGCCAATTGGATGGTGGGTGAAGCTCAAGGTCGTCGGAAGGTCGCGGACTCGATCGCGATGTCGAAGTTCTGAAGTGGTGTCTAGCCGAAGAAGGCCGCCACCGCGGCTGCAAGGAAATCTCGTCCTATCAGAAGGTACCTGATTCCAATAGTGATTCCGGAGCCGCGGCGGGTTCACTCGGCTAGCGCGCGTCTAATTCTCTCCGTTTCGATCCCTGTAGACCCACTTGATTATGACGAAGCTAAGGGACCTTGTGCATGTCTGTTACTTTAGAGCTCTACCTGCGACCGACACTCGATACGCCGATAACTTGACCCAGCGTAACAAGATCCCCGCGATATCCAAATCTCTCGACCAATACTCCTCCACGGACATGGTCGAAACCCTGCATCATGAGCCGTGTCCTGTCCCCGCCAAAGCTGGTGCTGCTGGCTGTCCACCTTGCCATCAACGCCGACATTGACAGCTTGGCCTTTCTCACCTCTCGACACGCCGCCGTCCTGCGCAAAGATGTCGTCCTGCGCATACTCCTAACCTACCTTCCCGAGACGGTCAGGTCCCGCGACTATGTCTACTTCCTTGAGGAGCTGTCTACGGGGGATTTTGCGGATCGCGAGGCCGCCAGCATGGACTACACCGTTGTCGAGAACCTGTCCGAGGAGGACGCGGCGAAGAAGGTTCGCAAGCTTCGGTTGCTATCCTTGGCATGGGAAGATGCACCCTTTAATACAGAGGACGACCCGATAACGCTCTTCCTCCTCCGAAGAGCCCACCGCGTTGACGAAGAGGCCGGCTTACTTACGCAGCTGCCTGAGCTTCTTGGTCCTTTTCTGCAATACGCTCCAGGCATTCGTCTGTGGATGGTCTCGACATTGCTGCCATTGCTGAGGAGGAATTACGAATACTACCCTGCGGACGGCACACCCTATACCCTTGCCGAGTTTCAGAAGCTACCTGACGGCGCTGCCGTGGACGCTCTCCTATCTCAGACTGGAGTGCGGTCCGAGGACCACGCGCTAATCGGCCGGGACTTGAGGGGCCTTCTGGTTCCGTGGCTTCACAATGACGCCCGCTGGAAACAGTCTGAGGATAGTTCCCTGAGCGTATCCACGGACGAAGAACTGCACAGTCCAGGTTGGGAGCGAGCTCTGGAGTGGCTCCTGTCACTGAGTTCGAGTTCCTGGAGGGCAGCCGCCGCGGCCGTGGAGCAGTGGGGAGGTGCTGTAGATGTTGATTTGGGCGACTATGATGCCGTATGGCTCAACGAGCAGCAGCAACAGTACCTTGACTGTCGGTATGCTCGTGCCGTCTTGGCCTGCGCCTACGTCGTCCCCGAGGCCTCTGTCGAAGCACTTGAGGGCGCCCATCAAATGTTGAGAAAAGTCATGGATCTTCTTGGTGAGGATGACACGCTTCCGCTACAGGCCGCAGCAGAGTCCTTGTCCGCGGTGCCTCATCTGGAAGGGGATGGTATCCTACACCACAAAAATACAGCATTCATGCGGGACGATCTGTTGAAGCCGCACAACCCGCTCACTACTCCTTCAAAGAAGGCAACGCACCTGCTGCACGCTATTATTGTTAGTGCATATATACTAACACGACTCGGGCTGGGCTGTACTGTCAAGAGAGCGGGGGATTTGGCGTTTATACAGGACGAACGAGACCAGAATGCCGAAGCCGCGAAGCTAATACACGCCGTTGCGGCACAAGCCCCAAAACATGACGCGAATTTCTGGATCAAGGCTCGAAACGAATTGCTCTGGCTCCGATGTTGGGGCGTATCGAGTGCAAATGGGCCAGTCGTAGGACTCTTTGCGCGAGTCAAAGCCGAAACTGTTGAGACGGAAATCTTGAAAGCCCTGCTTGCAAGTGGACGTAAGTTGGGATTGAAAAGGGAACACCGGGCTGTCTGCTAAACATGTTCAGGATATCCTCTGGCAAGGTCGCTGTACGAGAACCCTGCCGAGAAACCGTTACCTGCCCAGGTCTTTCAGGAGCTGGTGATTGCGGCAGCTCTCAACGCATATGACAATGCCTCCAATCCTAACCGTACCAGGGGTGGGCTCAAGAAATGCGATGAGATGTGAGTATCACATAGTCCACAACCTGGAATGGCCGCTGACAGTTGCAGCATAAACTCCTTCCCCCTTACCATTCCTGAATCCCTGCCAGAGCGGCGAAAGATCGATGCGCTACTGAAGGCGACACACGCCCTCAGTGATTACCGCCTGGTGCTGAGGCAGGGTGAGCCTTTCAGCCCCGTTGTCCTCCGCGTGCACTCCGACCCGGTCTCCATCATCAGCAAAGTCCTGGAGCAGAATCCGAACAGCTATACACGCATCCAGGACCTCGCAGACATGGGCGTCAATATGGTCCGCGCCGGTCTGGTAGACCGAGTCAAAAAGGGGGCCATTCCTCAGGTTCAGAACGACGAGTTAGCACACATTGATGCCGCGCAGAAACGCATCACGGCCATGTGCATCGAGGCCGCCCTGAAGGAAGACGATTTTGAGACTGCGTACTCCTATGTCGCCAACCGGCTGAGCGGCCGAGCGGACAACTCGGTTTCGAATGCCACAGTCCAGCTTGACGACGACTGGTCCTGGCGAGCAGCGTTGCAAGCAGGCCAGTACATTAGGACGGCAAGAACCGTCCGTCCGACACATCTGGGTAATGCCAGCGGCAACGCTGAGATCAGGCACTTGGAGCACCGCATCGACTGCCTGGCTACTGCGCTTCGCATGGCTCCGCCTTCCCAGCTGCAGGAGATCCTCAAGACCTTCCGGCGCTGCGAGGAGCAGCTCGACTCAGCACTCAAAGAGGAAGCCGCCCGCGAAGCCGCGTTAGACTCCGCTGCTGATGTTGGCTCGCACGGCATGCCTGGAGGATTCGACTCAGGGCCGGCAATCCGGTCCCACAGGCCATACGGCAATCAGTCTCGTTCCACAACGGCGGCGGCGGCCAAGGCAGGCGACGATGCGCCCATGTCGTTGTTCGATCTGTCTCGTGCCACAGCTCGCGCTGCATCGCGCAATTTTTCTGCGCTCTCGACTCTGCAGCAGTCTGTAGGCGGCAGCAAGGCGCCGAGCATAGCCGAATCAATCGCGAGCGGTGACGGAGAGGCGCACGACGACCACCCCAGGGCGAGGAAGCGAGATCAGCTTCGTGATGCAGCCATGGGAACCCTGACATCAGGTGTTGGCTGGCTTATTGGTGCACCGGCACCCAGCGACCACCGCACGGCCAGAGACGACTGATTTGGGGGGGGGGGGCCTCGATTTCATGTAAATTTTTCTACGATTGATGATGAATGATATACTTCCACACGGAACAACTGACCAACCTACTTCCAGCATTATGGCTGGCCCAAGTGTAACTCGGCTTGTGCCACTTGAACCCAAATTCAATTGCGGGTTGAAAGAGCACTGTGTCATGTGTTTCTTGTCTGTTATCAACTTTTTCTAGCCTCTGTGGTGCCTCTCTATAGACAAGAGGGACTATGCTACACTACTTGACATGTGTTTAACCTAGATTGGTGTCAAAACTGTTGCGACCCCTTACCTGAGTGGATTTCATTCGAATTGGCGAGGCATGTCCGTGGTTAAGCTGACTTATCCCTAACCCCAGCATTCCCCCCTGCGATTGGCGAGCATATTCCGACGAAACCTCCCGACGTAGGTTGGCTGCTTTTGCCTTTTTGGAGTCGACGCAGAAGTAGGGACTGCCTTGCTCGGGCATTGTTTGGAACCAATCTACGGGGGTTTCGGTAGCGCCCACTCGGGAACCCGTAGAGCATCTTGAGAATGCTCCGATCAGCGCAGCATCCACAAGTCCTGGACGGGATGACCTGAGTGTGAAGCCCTTGCGATGGCGGCACAAGTTGAAGAGGAGTCAAGATGGGGGAAAGTCGTGGTTGGGAGAAGCCACAGCTGGCGGCAAGTATGCAGTTAGTTTCGCTCCTGTTACAATAGGGGTAGATACCTTTGACCAGCGTTCTCTACCGCAAATGTAAATTCAGCCTGCTTTCGTAACAGTCAACGCGGAAGGGATGCAGAGGGAGCCAAGACTTTGTTGTGCCCGGCGTCGCTGAGGTGCAATGGTGACAAGAGACGAGACAGAGAGAGCGAATGGCGAAAAAGGGCGTTTCATTTACGACTGGAAAGCTGAAAGTTGGCGTTCAGGCGGCACAGTTACGTTTTAGTTGTTTTAGGGACGCGGTTGTCATTCATGTTGCATTGCTGGTCAACATCTTATCATGCTGAATTTGCATCGAGCCATGCCGGATTTGCGAGGGCGTCTCAAACTCGACTCGACCCCGAAGCGGGATGCGATAGATAATGGTACAAGGTGGAAAATTGGTTTGCGTAAGGGGAACAGCCATAGACCGGCGCGGGCCCATGACTTGGTGTAACGAGAGTGCTGATCCACGAGGGGGTAAAGTGACTTTCACTCTGGCCAAAGCCTGTCGAAGCCTGCCGTTTTGCCGCGTTGATTTTTTGCCAAAGCTACCAGAGAGAAACCGCCAGACATTCGTCGTCCTGAAACAGCATTACTTGAGAAGAATATGCCGTCTAGTATGGCAATAAATTCTCGCATTTGAGCCGTCATGAGCGAGAATGCCGGGGCTCAGAAGAGGTAAACCACGCAGGCCGAAAACCCCATTTTTTGTGCTTCCATCCCGACTAGTTGTAGTGCTCAAGAACTCCATGAGACGCAATTTTTTGGGATATCCGCCGTAATCGATCGCACTATGAAAGATGGAAGAAGAAGCATCTGTCGATTGCCAAGAAACTTGACGCATCAACAGCATGTGGTGAAAGGTGTAGGAAATCAGCGAGAACCTAGACATGTTAGCAATCAGAGTATGCGGGCGGATAGGTAATCAAATAATCCAACCTCCGTAGGGCTCACGGGCCTCAGAGCGGGCAGGCGCATCGCTGTAACCTGCACCGGCAGCAGGGGCATCGCGAGAACGAGCACCGTCGCGATCAGCGGGCCTGTCGTAGCCGCGCTCACGCTCGTAGCCAGCGCCGCCGCGACGTTCATCAGGGCCACCACGGGCGTAGCGATCACCGCGGTCCTCGCGGCTACCGCCACCACCGTAGCGGTCCACTCGGCCGCCGCCGCCGCTGTAGCTGTCATCGCCACCGCCGCTGCCGCGGTCGCGTCTCTCGTAGCCACCACGGTCTTCGCGATAGCTGCGGTCGTAGCCTCGGTCCTCACGATAGCCGCGCTCGTAGCCACCGCTGCGGTCGTCGTAGCCGCGTCTGTCGTAGCCACGGTAACGGTAGGGGTCATCGCGGCCGTAGCCGCCGCCACCGCCACCACCTCCGTAGCCGCCTCCGTAACCACCACGACGTCTGTCATCATAGCGGTCGCCAAATCGACCGCCGCCGCGGCCGCCGCCGCCGCCCTCTATTGGATTAAGCGTCAGTAAACTGCTACAAACAAGACATTGACCGGGAAGGCAGGACTTACCACGTTTGGGAGGACCAAAGTACTTGCCCGGGGTGGGAGTGCGAGGACGAGCACGTCGGGCCTTCTCGATGCTGAGAGTACGACCTTCGATCTGCTCTCCCTGCAGACCCTCCTTGGCAGCATCGGCCTGGTCCGAGGTGACCATCTTGACGAAGCCGAAACCACGGGACTCCTTGGTGTGAGGGTCGCGCATGATCTGGCATTTCTCAACCTCACCGTACTTCTCGAACAAACGAGTGACCTCAGACTCGGTCAGACGAGGGTGGATGCCGGTGACGAAGAGGTTGGAGCCAGGGTTGATAGCGCCGTCATCATCGCCACCCTTGGAGCCAGTCTCGTCCTTGTTGCCACTGAAACCAGAGAAGCTTGTCAGTCAAAAAGCGAGAGGGGAAAAAACCACATTGGCTGAGAAGGACGGAAATTTGCGTACCGGTCGCCGTTACCAGCGGGCGAAGCAGAGCGACGGCGTCCAGAGTCGCCATCATCGCGGATGGGACGAGGGGAAGCGCTGCGGTTGTCGCGCTCGTAACGAGGAGCCTCGTCTGCAGGGCGTGAATCTGTCAGTGCCGAATTGGTTTGAGGGCGACGGGCAGCATCGAGATAAAACGAACCATCGTAGCGGTCGCCATTGGCGGCCTCGTAATCCATGGATGTGGTAGCCATGTTGAGTGATGCTGTTCCGTCGACTGTAAAAACGTCGGTGTTTGGGTGTTGGTAGCTGGGGGAAGCTGGCCAGCGACGCGATCGCTGGTGACGCAGACTCTTCTGTTGTGATGGCAGATTGGTCAGAACAGAGGGATAGAATCAGGCTGGAGCCTCAATCGAGGTTAGGGGGGGAGAGGAAGAAAAAAAAAAAGTCGACAAGACGGGACGGGACGAATGAAATAGAAAGGGAAGAATTACGGTCGCCGATAAGTAATTAGATGCGTTTGGCGAAAAGCATCAATCGGGAGGAAGGACGCGGCGTGGAGATGCCAGGTAGGAAAGAGGAAGAGTGAGTGATGTGAAGGAGAGGAAAAGGCGTCGGGAGGTCGAGGCGTGGGTGGGATGGGATACGACGAAGGAGCGTGTGCGTGCGTGCCTTGGGGCGCGCGTGGTCAATTGTATGGTACCGTCTTACCGTGAGGTACTACTGGTAGTAGAAGCCTAGTTCTGAGTTGGGGGTGCTGTTGGTAGTCTAGACTGGACAGTACACTTCCTACTTTACCAAGGTAAGGTACTCAGGGTGTCAGTCAGGGAAGGCACAGACGACCCGTGGATGCAAGCAATAGGCAGCCTGGAGCAGGTGAGGCGGACCAGCAGGCTAGGCAGGTGCAGACAGGGCTAGAGTTTTGGTCCTGAGGAAAAGAAAGACAGGGCGGGCAGAAGCAGCAGCAGCAGCAGCAGCAAGAGCAGAGCAGGCAACGCCAGCGAACAGGGGAGGCGAGAAAAGACTGCCCTGTGATTGATTGATTGACTGTGACTGCAGCCGGGGAAGGGTGGGAACCGTACGAAGAAAAATTTGGGAAAGGGAAAGCTGCAGCCGTGCGCGAAGGAGCCCAGCGTGCCTGTGTCCTCTCCCTGTGTTCGCTGACCAGTCAGAAGCTACGACAGTCCCCTCCCCTGCGTGAGCCTGCTTTGGAGCGAATGCCCCATGTTGATTTGGCGAGATTTAGCATATGACTACTCCATAATCAGTCTAGCTCTTTGTTTTCTTCCCAACGCGCACGGGCCAACTGTGCTTGCAGGTCGATACTAGGTAGGCAGACGGCGATACACACCTCCTAAACTACACTTTTGCTGGCCTACACATGGCACCTCATTATCTACCAGACGGCCACCAAGTGCTGCGGAGCCGACTGCCCTTACGACGTAGACCTACAGCTTTAACAATTCGGGATGGGGAAGGCAAACAGGCGTAATACTGCTTGACTTGCCGTCCTGGCGTGCGATGTTTCTAGACCACGGGCCCGGACCTTGATGTCCAAAGGTAAATGTCGGCATGCATGTTCAACCCCAGACCAAATCATACATCAAACCAAAATCGATAGAGTTGACGGGACCTCCTGTGAACACAACCTTAGGAGAATGGCCATTGAGCTCCCTCAACGTCCTGCATTATGCATTCACTCGCAATGGTGTTTGTTTGTGTGATGCGCAACTGCTCTTCTAATACAAAGCAATTTTTATGGGTTGATGGACGACCGAGGCCCAATCGAATCGATATTCGGCTATTGATACTCCGACTACGTTTGCATCTCTGGTCTCAATGGATTACGAGCTCTACAAGTCTTCCATCACTGGAAGTTGCTCAACGTCCCCTCCCTCGACAGTCTCTACCTCGAGAGCCCTACGGACATCTATTTCCGTGAACGCCCCCGGCTCATCTAAGAAGCTGAGACCTTCGACTGCCTTTCCTCCACATGCTCTCTCCAATGCCAAGAAGGCAAAGTGGCCCCCAACAACAGGTCTGGCCATAAAATGTGGCCCGGGCCATCCACCAGTGCCCTCCGTCTCGTACAGGTCGGTCATAGGTCGGTCTACGATGGCTTTGTTAGCATGTCTCAGGCTCGGTCATCAAATACTGCCCTCTTACCAGTTGTCGTCTCGTTGACCCATCCTGCGATACTCTGAAGTATCTCAGTGCGAGTTTTCTTGCTTGTGACGGCCGCGGCGAAGAATTGCCAGTCGCTCTTCGTATACAGATGACGGCTGTCCAGCGGAAGGCCGTAATGCTGCAGAACCGCATGGTACCAGTTGCTCTGCATGCTGTAGACCTTGTCCGGGATGAAAGACGTCTGAGAGCCCATACCCAAGGTCCTTTGCAACCACTCTGCGATACGTCCACCCCGTAATGCCGCCTTTCGTTCTGGCAAGTGGAAGCAAAGCAGAGAGTCTGCGTAGAGGTTGTAGATGGTCGTCCAAGAGCCGTACCACGTGTACGCCAGCTTGGCGTGGGAGCCGTCTCTTGAGATTCCGAAGCCTTGCCATTGTTCAATGTAGTCGCTGGCGATGTCCGAGTAGTACTTGGAGTCATCCGTCTTCCCCAAGACGTCGGCGATCTCAGCCATGGCCTTGATCCCAATGATGCCTTTCAAGGCGAGGTTTGTTTGATTGGCAAGCCAGCCGGCAAAATCATCAGTGCAGAGCTGGTTGGCTGGGATGAGCGACTCGCGAACGAGATATCCCGTCCACTTGGTCCAAAGTTCGTAAGACCTGGACACCCACTTTTCAGCCTCCTTGGCTCCTCTGAAGGCAGTGACAGCTGATGAACGATCCATGCCATAGACATCGGGAGACAGCGCCAAAGGTCGCCCGCCGGAGTTCTTGGGGTCCAACAACGTTAGTGGACCAGCAAGACTATCAACGGACTGGATGAACGCCGGCTGCGTGTCGTACTTGAAGGCGTTGACAAGGGCCAAACCCATGATGAGCATGTTTCCGCACTCCTCCACGGGCATGTACTCATCTTTGCCATCGGGGTGTCCAGTAGCATTGGGGAAATGGGAACCCAAATCATGCATACTGTAGTCATTCGGGTATTGGCCGCTCAGTTGATGTTCCAAAAGAGGTTCGAGAAGGTAAGCAAGCCAGCGAGGATTCGTGTACAGGAAGAATGGGAATGCTGGGAAGATGACGTCTACAGTCTGGAAGTTCCCGTTTGAAGATATTTCCTTTAGGAACAGGATGGGGTCATCAGGAGTTCCTGAGAACTGGGTTGCACCGAGGACTTGGCGGGCAGACAGCGCAGCAATGTCTTGGTAGTCCTGGGAGCCGGAGGCAAAAGCGTCAACGGCCAGCTGGTCCGAATAGTTTCTTGCCAGTAGGTTGGCGACGGCAAAGTCATCATAGTGGTATTGGATCAGCTCGGGTGAGGTTGCAAAGTAGAAAGACCACAGAGGCCTCATCTGCGTCAACCCTCTGGCGGCTGCAAACTGGACAACTGGATCTTGAACAAGGGCGAAAGTGAACAACACGCTGTCTGTCGATGAAAGACCGGCCCGCGTGTTGTTACTCAGGTGGAATGGCTTGGCAAAGGCAAACACCGGCTCCTCGTCCATGATCTTCCGGTACAAAGTATCTACCTCGTTCTTCAAATTGCCTTTGGTCGCAAAGTGCTGTCGCAGGATTCCAGACGTCCCTGATTGGTGGTAGACGTCGGCGGGGCCAGTGAAATGCAGCGTTCCCCATTCTGCGTGGTCGGCGAACTCGGTAAGAAGTTGTTGTGTTTGCCTTGAGACCTGCCAGGTCTTCAGGACCGCACCTTGCTGCTTGGCGCCCTGGGGCTTGAGGAGGTCCCAGACAATCTTGTTGTCCCGGTTGCCGCTCACCCACTCGCCATTCAAATCCGTGTAGATGTTGATATCGAAGGACCCCTCGGCATGGATTGTCAGATACGCAGCAGGTACGGATTGGCGGAAGGTTGACGTGGGCGTGATTGGGGACAGAAACGAAAGGACGATTTTGACCGGCGCCGAAGACCCCTTTGGCGGAGCAATCGAGTACGACAGATTCGTGGTCGAAGCATCAAAGGTAGCGCCTAGGTATGTTGGGAAGGCTATATTGTAGTTTCGGGAAGAATGTTAGTTCAAGGTGTTGTCACGTCCGCAAGCAGGTCAAACACACTTGGAAGACGATGACAAGGAGTCTTGGGGTCGTCCGAGCAGCGGATAAACAGTATTGGACTCTGGAACAGATGCCATGACGGAGAAGCCGACCTGGAGCGCGGTTCAAAGTCAGCGACACGTATGTTTGACGAAGACTGTGGCTCTAAAGCTCACGCTGCTCCCGGTCCAGAACATGGGCCAATGTTCCCAAGGCGCATCGCGGGCGTTGCCCAACCAAGTGCTGAGGTACGGGTTGCGAACAATCAGCGGAAGAACGGGAGGCGTCAAAGTAGAGGCGCCGACCGTCACGGCGACGGCCAGGAGTGAGAATAGCTGCATGGCGAAGAGATCGTTTCGAGACCGGCTCCAGAGGCAGTCGAACACCGCTCGCCACAGCAATTACGAAGGAAGAAGAAGATTAAAAGATACAGCTCAGAATATTGTAGAGAGCTCGTCTCTCGTCTGCCGTATAAATAACAGAAAACGCCGGAGGCCGCACAATGTTAAGGACCCTGGAAGAGGAGATGCAGCGTCAGGTCAGGTGAGGCGGCGAGAGGGAAAATCAGGAGATGGACTCGGACAAGATGCAAACCCTTCCCTCCCTCGGTTTTACCGCAGCTCGAAGGGAGTGGTCGTCTTTAGCCCGGTTTTGGGATGGCACGGGAACAGTTGGAGAAATCTGGGGTAGGAGCTGCATCCCGTCACAGGTAAAGGAGCATGGCGAGGTGCAAGAGCCGGCGCAGAGCTGGGCACCATGTACGTCAGGATGGCGGGTCAGGTGGGGGAGAGCAAGGCTGGGCTCGCTGCAGCTCCCGTCCTCCGACTCCACGGGCACCAATCAAACACGAACTGCCGCACCACGAGCCCCTGTGATATGGGGGGCTGCGGGGTCTGCTTTTGCGGGGTTCCATTCACCACACACAAACAACCGAAGTGTTCTGTGGGAGCTGAACTTATATCAGGTCTCCCGTCATGCCCAGCGCGCACAAAGGACAACCCGCCCACTCACTGAGTAAATGTCTGGCTACAAAGGTTGTGTTGGGTTGGCCACGTTTTTAGACTCCCGATGCCAGCATGCTGTCTGTGCGAGTCTATGACGGCCGCCGGCTGTCAACTCAACTTCAGATACGCCCTCGATCTTGAAGGGAAAAGGCAACCAACCACTGGAACTCTCACACGGGACGAAGGATCGGCAAAGTTGGCAGGCACTTACTTAACCTGGGATCTGCTGTCCTTCCCACTCTTGCTCGCCCGTCTAACTGCGAGAGCAACTCAGCCGACACAGAGAAGCTTGGCCCGCACCCGTGAAGTCGCAAACGTCGTGACTGGACGATATTTTTCACGAGCTTCGGGGTCGAACAGCCATCCTGAGCACTGCGATTACCCCAGACCCTCGCCTTCCTCGGTCCGGGTCAAGTGTGTGCGAACACATCCGTCTTAGTCTGTGCCGACGTCTTGTGATTGGTGGCGGCTTAGCATCGGATCCACGGGATGTTAGGCCGTGTCCCTCACGATGCGGCCCAGCTTTGGGATACCCATTTTGTCCACACGACACCCCTCTCGACTCAACGATTTGGAACTCTTAGCGGCATCTATTCGCAGGTCTTCATATCCAAGTAGAGCCACTGCAATGGCATCACTCGAAGGAAAGGTCTATGCCTTTACCGGCGGTGCCAGTGGCATCGGCCTAGCCACGGCAAAGATCGTTGCCAAGCGAGGGGCAACTGTGTGTCTTGCCGACGTCGACCCCGATGCCATGAAAGAGGCTGAGGCCTATTTTTCAGAGCAAAAGATGCCATTTTCGGTAACGAGGGTGGACGTTTCGAAAAAGGATCAAGTCGAAGGTTGGATAAGCGGTATCATCGAGCAGTTTGGCCGTCTGGACGGAGCGGCCAACGTCGCAGGCGTCATAGGCAAGCACCACGGCATCCGGGCTGTCGCGGACCTAGAGGACGAGGAATGGGACAAGATCATTGCTGTCAACTTGACGGGGTGCATGTACTGCCTCAGGGCGGAATTAAGAAATGTAGTGGACGGCGGCTCGATTGTCAATGTGGCCTCGATACATGGCGTCAAAGGTACGCTGTCATTTCTTTGAGGGACCCATTGCAGGAGACTCGTCTGACAAGCCGACTGCCTAGGTTTCGCCAAACACGGCGCATATGACGCCAGCAAACATGGTGTAATTGGTCTTACCCGCGCGGCGGCCAACGAGAACGGAGGCCGCGAGGTGCGGGTCAATGCCGTAGCTCCCGGGGCCATCTACACGCCGCTGATGGAGAAGGCCTGGAAGTTCCACAACCGCCCGTCGGACGCCGAGTTCGACGAGCCGACGGCATTCCAACGCCAGGGTACCGCGGAGGAGTGCGGAAACGTCATCGCATTCTTGCTCGGCCCAGAGAGCTCTTTCGTAAGCGGCAGCGTCTATAACGTCGACGGTGCGTGGCTTTGAGCGGGCGATGACACGTCGCGCTGATCGGAGGTGCAGGCGGGTTGTGCCGGAGAAGATGGTCCAAGTTCTCACCAAACATCGGATGGATCAACCTCGTGCTTCTCTCCGTCGTCTCTTACATGCTGGAGCTTGATGTCCCTCTTCATGGGTTTTCTCATATCGAAGGCGTCCTCGCCGTCGAGCGTAGGATCCGTAGCATGGTCGCCATAGTAGTCCTTGACCACGCGAAAGACGCTGTAACCCAAGTTCTTGTAAAACGTAATGGCCTTGTGGTTGCTGGTGCGAACGAACAAGTCGACGAACCAAGCATCGTTTGCGTCGGCGGCGGCCTCCAACTGCTCACAGAGTATCTTGCCAATGCCCAGCCTTCTCGCTTCGGGCGCGACGGTGAGGGCAGTGATGTGAGCATGCCAGGGGAGGTAGTGCTCCGAGAACTTGTAGACATCGGGCGAAGATTCGAGCTTGCCCATGACTGGGTATCATGTCAGATGGGTCCACCATGCCTTTGGCAGTGTTGTTGTTGACGTACTGTAGCCGATGATATTTCCATTCATGTCCTCGCAAACCTGGAACATGGAAGGCCACTTTGCGTGATACTGGAGGTAGAACGCCAATTCGTACGTCTCGGTCAGAGGATCGAGGTTGCATTTGGAGAACTTATTGACATCGTCGGGGCGGAAACGACGAAAGGTGGCCATGACTGCGGAACCGGACCGCGAACTTGGAGTCGGAACTATCGAGGAGTGTCGGCGCCAGGAAGTGGCTGTGGGTGGTGATGGTCAGAATCCAAGTGTGATAAAGCTGCAGGGTGTACAGCTGAAGAGTTAGGCATGAATGGAGCGCGAGGGCCGGACAAAGACAAAGGGTCCGCGAAAGCAGCGCCGGCAACCAAATGTTTTTTGTTCGGACAATGTTGGTAGCCCAGAATGATAACAGCCGTGTCCATGAATCTCAATAAAGTGGAGGGGGAGGGGTTTTCTGTGCTGACATAATAAGGTATGCTACGGCGCCTCAGGTACTTAGGTAAGGAACCTTGCCTACCTTACCAAGGTAGGTACAGCTCTGGAAAGCGGGCATGCAGGGACCGTGTGCTAAGGAGCTGACAGATGCCCTAAACGGCCTGGATGCCGGGCCCTGGATGGGAAAAGCCCGTCTGGCCACAGGGGACACAGACGCAGGAGTCAGCAGCATGGCACAGGTTACATACCTTACCTGGGTAAGGTAGGTAGGTACCCAAGGTAGGTGAGTGCTTTAGGTAGATTCACCTCGCAGAGTACATTTCAGTTACACCACAGGGCAGCGGTCGGTGTCTCACATCAAACTGGCGATCCAGCAAGTCGGCATCTCGGCCTCCTTTTTTTTTTCTCCTTCCCTTCCCCTCTGCCTATCGTCCCAAACAGGTACATGCCTTTGGTTCTTTCACTTACACGGCATTTTGGGCATAGTCGAACTGCCCTGCAGCATCCTCACTAGGTGGGTACTCAAGCAACGACTGCAGAGGTCCACGGCCAAGACACAGAGGACGACCCGACGCACAGGCGCAAAGGAATCTCGTCTTAGCCCGGTCTACCTTATTACGAGTATCCATCGGCCGATAATAATCAACAACAAAGCAAAGCCCGCCGTGCCCGCCCAGCAAATTGCATTAATTGGACGCTCGCCCTATCCGCAATCCGCCCGCTCTCCTAATAAGAGAGGTAATATTCCCAAGCTCGCCCGCACAGCCGCTCGCCATTACCATTACCATCGCCATCGCCATCGCCTCTGCCGTTGCCGTTGCCCACGCCCGCGTTCTCTGTTTTCCACGACGTTGACTTGCATGGGCTTTCGAACAAGCATTTGCTCCGCTCCGCTCGACGTTGTTTTTTGTTGCGTGACTGCGGCCCTCGAGCACCAACCCGCCTTCATCCTGCTGCAGTGTCCTCCACTTGGGTCTTCCTGGTTGTATATTTGATGCGACAACCCCTGTTGTTTGTTTCTGCACCAGCAACCCCGGGTCAAGCAGAGCAACAACACTCGTCTGCTTTGCTTGTTGATTGCCAGCACACGCACGCCGCGGAGCGTCATCGATCCGGCCTTTTCTACATATAACTCTCGTCCGTACGGTTTTCCCACGCCTGTTCTGGGCCCGTACTGCCGACCGACCGACCGACCGCCACTCCCTTTCTCCGATCCGACTCCACGATGCCTTCGACTCCGAGCCACTCGCGTCACGCCTCGAGCGTCGATGCCTCATACCAGTACAGCGCAACCTCGTCTCCCCAACACCGCCGACAGTCGAGATCTTCAACACACGAATCGACAACGCCCCTAAGGGGCAGCTTCAACCAACAAGATGCTCTCGATGTATCCTACGCCAGTGGGGGCGCGGCTGCCGGGAACGGCTTGGGGAATCTCGCAGACGAGCTGGCCGACGCCTTCTCCGATTCGGGCGACGAGGGAGAATACTACGAAGACGAGACCGGTGCCCCAAACATCAGTGTCGAGGAGGCCGATGGCAAACCGGGCGCAGAGGGAACACGGGACAGTGGTGTTGATGTCGCAAGCCTTGGTGAAGCTGGCAGCAAGGCCAGGAATCTCAACCTGGGCCCTCCGTCGCCTCCCCGGCGCGGCCACCGCAGAAGCGGGAGCGAGTACGATGGCAGTGAATATGGGTCTGAGTCGGATCTCGACTCTCCAGGCATGCTTCCTAGCCTGGTCGCAAAAATTGATGCGGTGGAGTCACTGGCTAGAAGAGGGACAGAGAGCAACGGGGGGCCCACGGATGGAGTCTTTAGCCGCGTAACGGAGAGCTTGAGGGATCTTGGATCTCAGGCCGGCGTCGAGGGAAGCGCAACGAGGTATGTCACCGGCAGCATGCCGTAGCCACGCATCATTTCCTGACTTTGACCAGGCTTATCACCGCTCACTCGGCACTCACGACCCACCTGACACACCAGACTCGTCAACTACATAATTTGACGTTTCCGCTGCTTTCTCCGCTCGTCCCGCCTCCAGATTCAGAGACCGTCGACGACTTGTTGCCCCTCCTACTCGAGCTGTCAGAGTCAATGCCCCGGCCAACGACGAAAGCATATGACTCCTTAACGGCGCTCCACACCCTCACAAGTGACCTCGTCCAGAGCCTCAACTACTTATCGGACACCTTGCACATGTCGAGGCAGACGACTACGACAGCCACCCGTCGGTTGAAGAGCGCCAAGGAGCTAGTTGCCGAGATCAGGAGAGAAGAGGAGCTCTGCGAGGAAGGCGAGAGGTGGCTCACACGTGGAAACTGGAGCGAGAGACTGCGGAAACGCGAGTGCGCGGGGGTATGCGGCGATGTTGTGAGTGGCTTTGAGGAGGTCTGCGATGGATGGCGTGCACGATTACTAGAGCAAGCCGGTTCTGCTCCGGCTTGAGACTTGCCTATCGACATCTTCCACGATGCCAACCATACCCACGCTTTTCTCTGCATAGACAAGCTAGGTTGATTCTGTCGTGTCCCAAGGTTGGGTTACGCGGGATGTGCGTCGGGCTAGATAACGAGTGTCTTTGGTAGGCCTGAGGAGGCCTTTGCAGCTCGGTACTTTTAGACTACATGAATTTGACGAGCTGATGAACATGACGATAAGTCAATGAAGCCTGAAAAAATCACCCCTGCTCCCGAACTCGCCTGGCGCCTACCCCAATAGCACAATGTACAACTGGAATTGCTGAGGGGTCCAAATCGAACATTCAGATATGACTAGGATCTAACGACCCTTTCAAAGAAATCTGGTTTTCGCTGGCTAGCACCGGTGAGCGTGGCGGCGTGGATACGAAAAGTCCACACTGATGGGCGCCAGACTCTGCCCCACACCGCATGCAACTTGACTTCACTCATCAAAGCAGTGTGGTAGAGAGTGCGTTATGACGCAAATATTGAATTAGGGTATATATACTATGGAAAGGATGCATTCAGCATGATACATCTGGTGAGTGCAAACCCTCTTTCTTTCTAGATCAATGCTTGCGCGCGGTGTAACATTATAATCCGGTGCTGGTAACAAGAAAGTTGTGAGTATTGTGGTATCAAGTATAAAGGAACAAATGGGCCATTTTCGAATCTTCCAAGTTGCGCGCGACTAATCCTCCTCCAGCCGCACCGTGTACGCAGGCCGGGGAGGCTCGTCGTTGTCGCTGAAGGCCGGGGACATGGGTCGGCGGGATCCGGCAGGCCCTCGGCTCAGCCGACTCGATCGACTCGCTCGACTTCCGGGCCGGTCTGGGTCAATGTCGAAATCTGCGGGCGCATCTACTTCATCGCGGGCCTTGTTCATCGCGGCGAAAGATGACAGGCTCATGTTATCATCTTTCGAGGGACGCGGTTGCTGCAGGGCACCGGTCCGACGCAAACGTCCATCGACCGGGGGAGCCTCTTTTCCCTTGCGGATGCCAGCGTCAGATTCATCGTCGACAAGGACAATCATCCATACGCCCACAGCACTGTTGCTGCCAAGAAGTGGGGTGCAATGTATCCAGCGGATCCGGCCTTCGCTGGGGGGCTTGCTCATCCACCGAACTTTTGCAGTCACCCCGTGGCCCTCGGCGAAGGCCCTGTGGAGGCCGTCACGGACCCTGTTGGACCCGCCGATCTTGTCCATAAAGTTGGATTGCAGGATTCCGGGCACCCTCAATGAGGGCGAAGCAAAGAGAATGCGCAGGCTGGGATAGGGGCGGACTAGCAAATAGTGCTCGTACACGCCGGAGAGCTTGCCGCTGTGAATGGTCGGGGCTGAGTTGTGTTGTTGGATAGACGAAGTCTCATCCTGAATGAGGATGCGAGGCTTGTGCCAGTTCGTTGACGTGGCTGCATGTTCCTCGTCTTGGGGAACGCGATGCATATTGCCACCTCGCCTGCGGACGGTCTCGAGTTCTGTCATGTTGAACATTTCGCTCAGGTCCCGGAACTCATCCTTCTCTTCATCGACTTCCTGTTCCCGCATATGAGCAGCAGCAGCAGCCTCTTTCTCCACGACAAGGTTTTGGAGGGCGTCTAGGCCGGAACTTTCCTTGGCGAGGCCAGAGACGTCAACTTGGGCGCCGATGAAGTAGCGGACCGTACCCCGGCTGTCGTAGAGGGGTGCGACCATGAGCAGGTTCATGAACGGTGAGCCGTCACGGCGATAGTTGAGGAAGGTCTCGTAGTGCTCCTGGCCAGCCAGGATCTTATCTCGGATCCGCTTTACGCTGAAAGGGTTGGTCTTCGGGCCCTGGAGAAACCGACAATTACGGCCGATCACATAGTTCATTCCGTACTGCGTGGTTCTGTGAAACTCTATTTATGAGGTTAGCTCGGTTCGTTGGGAGCGTTACGGTGGGAGAACCAACCTTCTGAGGCGAACACAATGGGATTATCATGCCTTGAGGGATCCGTCAGACAGAATACCTCCGCCAACCCCTCTGACATTTCCCTCAATTGGACGGGAAGGGTCCCCGTGATGCGTCTCTTGATGGACACGCTGACTGTCTGGATCCACATGTACGTAATGTAGGCCGGGAGGTCCTGTTGCACGAGGACATCAAAGGCGGCCTCGGCCTTCTTCTCCAACGAGGTATTGGAGGTGTTTGCGGCATTTTGAACTGAAAACCCGTGTTCAGGTAGCGAGTCCAGTCCGCGGGCGATGGCGTTCGCGTACGCAATGGCGCGTAAAGCTTTCAGGCAGTCCAGATAGTACGTGAGGAGCGGAAGTGAGTCGGGTCGGGCGGAATGCAGGAAGTCGGTGAAACGTTGTAGCAGAACATGGTCCTTAAAGATGGCTTGCAAATGTTCTTTCGAGAAGAGGAGCTCTGACCGAGTCTCCAGCGAGTAGATGCCGTTATCGCCATGTGAAGGCACCACAAGGTCGAATGATCCAGGCTCCACCTCCTCCTCGGCTAGGGGTTCAAGGATCTCGTCGTCTCCGGCGCCCTTGGTTTGAAGAGGCGGCAAGGAGGTGGCGTTCGTTTGGTATGACGATGTAGTCGAGTTTGCCCTCGATCTTGAAGATCGTGTGCGGGGGCTCCTGGGTGGACTGGAGGACGTATGCCGCTCATGGATTTGAAGAGGCTCGGGAGACTTGACCCTTCCCCTTGGAGGGATCTCGGGAGATTGCACAGCACTACCAAAGCCGGTTGGTCAACATCAACGCACCTGCAGCCGTTACCTATTCTCTCACCTTCTGTCCTTTCTAACATTCAGAGCATTGGGGTTGATGGGCCCGTGATGAGTCCAGTTGCTGTCGTCCTCAACCCAAGCTTCTTCGAAACGAGACGGGTTGAACGTCTTGTCCTGCGGCAGACGGCTGGCTGGCCGCTTCAAGGGGATATCGGGGATATCAGCACCACCCTCGTCCACATCCATGTCGCAATTTTGGCTGGCGAGAGACGTGACACTGAGAGAGCTGTACGGACCGTTGGCCTGGGGTTGAGTAAGTTCGCCGTGCCTGTGTCGGCGGTGGTTGGGATTGGCAGCTACTTGAGCCATGTGCTTCTTCCGCCGGAATAGTGTAAGGACAGAACGGGAGCCGAGATCACGGGCCTGAGGGGAGACGGGCGATGGAGACATGATCTTGGCTGGGAGCGGAAGTTCTTCATATGAGGCGTCGGGGTTGAGGGATTGCGGACGAACGGAGGCATGGGTATATCAAAGAAGAAATAGAGCTGTGGCTCCGAACCATTGGCTCCTGCAACGTCATTCCACAAGCGTCGGGGCGCCGCCATCTGAACAGCGGGGGGGTTTGATCAAAGACGGGGGGCTCGGCAAAGGTACACACAGGTCTAGGAGGGCGTGCCGACAACGATCGACGACGACAAGATGGGACTATTGACGGACGAGGCAAGAAGCGCAAGCTGCATGTCAGGCACGTAGGCCCGTGAGCGAGCCAAATCAAGTGTGTCAGGTACCCGCCAGACCGCCTGGCCGTGCCTCTCTCTCGCCGTCTGTCTGATTCAGGCAATCAATCAAGCGTTGTCGATATTGGCGGCACGCCGAAGAGATCAAACCCCACAGCGTTGTGTTGTGGTGGTCACTTCAGACCTCGTCACAATGGGTGGATGGGTAAGATGATTTGACTTTCGGCCGAGCATGTCGATCGCGCGCTAGCCTGCTCGAGCATCGCTCCAGGCTGCGCAGGAGAATTTTCATGGCTGAAAGGGCCATGCCCGGCTCTCAAGTCAGTCTTTGTTGATGGGCTGGTGACAACTCTAGGGTTGGGTGACGGGTTGGGACTAGTCAGATGGTTTGTCCGAAGCCTACGAGCTCAGCACGGCCCATGGGCACTGGCTTCGGGCAAAAGAACCGTCATCCATCATCATCCATCCACACAACAGCTCGACGACACCAGGATGTTGACATGCTCGTTAGGTGACTAGGGGCGACTAGGTAGCTCAAGACGGGGTCGTGCAGTCGAAGATACGCCTTTGGGAAGCAGTTTCGCTGCTGCACCAATGAACCAGGAGTCCTGGGAACCGTCGCCATCAACCTTGCTGAACACGAAGGTGGTGTGCGGCTGCGCCTAACAAGAGGATCTGCGGGCTTGACGGGGAAGAATAACCTGGTTTCCTAGCATCAAGCCGGTGCAAAAAGAAGCAGCAGAACAGGCAGTGAGACGGACGAAAAGGGGAGCAAGGATTGGAGGATGCGGTACATGCCATCGTCGACTGGCACCGTAGCCCGAGAGGCAATAGTAAGCCAATGTAGAGTAACGTGGAGGGTAGTCCGTGGTGAAGGATGCCACGATGTCAGCAGCGATGGCGATGAGCGTGATATCGTCGCCTGCAATGCTTCTCGGCAAGTCTGTCGCCGGCCGGCACCAAGAGCAACGTTGTCAGGGTCTGCCGGGCTAGACCGGCTACTGCGGTGCACTCGCCACGAGACAAGAGAATTGCTGTCCGTGCCATGCCATGACGGGGATATTCACGCTCCAACTTCGAAGTCCTTTAGCCAACGTCTTGGGTCGTGGTTGAATGCTGTGGGGCGGGATATTCGACGCCTTGACCAATTTCGGCATCGGCCCCACCGCGGCCGACCCCCGAACCACGTCCAAGGTCCTAATCGAGGAAAAGCGCGGCGCCCCCGACCTAACAAAAACCGCAAAGTGGCATATGGCAGACGGGGCTAAGGTTGGGACCATTTCCGAATCGACCTGCGCGTCATCTCGCTGGCCGAAATGTTTAGAACCGATGCCATCAGCCTGGACAACCAGAGCAAGCCAGAATACAGCCAGGAGCCCGTGCTCGCTCGATCCCCGGAGCTGCGATCAAAGGCTCAAATCGGCGAACGGACAATGCCCTCTTTAAGACGACTTGAAGGGACGTTTTGCTGATTGTCATATATTTGCCGACGGTCGAGACTGGCACCATGACCTACGACCTGAATCGTCGTATCGTTGTTGGGTTCTCACGTGGGTCGCAACCACGCTGTCTCTCTCGTTCGGCGTTGTTACTCATGGCCACGCCGCGATGCTAACCGAACCAAAGAAGCAAACATTGGCTTGTCGCTCGACGTCGGTGATCTTTGTTGGAAGCAGGGCTATCACTTTTCAAATCTCGCATCGTGCATCAGCGCCCAGCTTCCACAGGCCAGGATCAGTGTCTTGCTTGGGATCTGCATACACTAAATAGTCGGCTGGGGAAGCACGCGGCAAAGTACCGGGACCGAGCAAGACTTCCACGCGGCAGCTCGAGAAATATTTGGCTCGAGTTGCTGCAGGCAGGGCAGGGGACGTAGAGACGAAAGATCAGCCCCCGGACTGATGGCTTGATTGACCAAGAAAGTCTTCAACAGCGAGCCTCTGTCAATGTTGCCCGAAGCACCAGGCTAAGCGTTGATGGTCCTTCTTTCCACAATATAGCGCGGGATGACTGAATGGTGACCATCTGCGCCACGGGTGCTGTGCCCATGGCAATTCAGGGATGACGTTGCCTGTCATTACTATCGACGGGGCACATCGACTAGGCTGCTCGGGCTTGCTTGAACCCGGAGAAGAGATGGATACCTAAGCGACGATCCTCCAGGAGTAGACAGCCATCGTGATGCTTTAGATAGCGGTCGGGAATCATGGAGTGCCCAGGCGAGAGGCGGATGGGATTGGAACGGCGAATTATATGAGACGATAAGAAGATTCGAAACAAAGGTCGTCGTGTTATGACCGAGAGCAAGTCATCGCACTTGTCAGTGCCCGTTGACATATAATCTCATCCAATGTGCGCTGTCGGTACCTTGCATGCTGACAAGCATGAGCAAGGATCACGCTTCCATGGCCGAGAGAGATGGCCGTGCGGACCACAGTCGATGTTTGTTGCTCATTGGGGGAGGGGGTTGTAGCGCGAGGGGCTCATTGAGTGCATGGAAGCGGCAAGGGAGCCAATAGGCACAGCGAACCTTTATCAGCGGAAGACCGACTGCTGTCTACAATTCCCATGTGTCTGCCAATTGAATGCAGGCTGGGGCTGCCACAACAAGCGGAGAAGTAAAAGGAGTGCAGTACAGTGGGCAGTGTCCTTTTGTTCAAACTGTACTGGGCGCCCCCCGAATTTGAGACGAGATGATGGAACGTAACGCTTTTCGCGTGGAGCTCTTTACGCGTTCTACGCGTCGCCCCTCGCGTCTCTGCCACACCAGCTCGCGGATGGTTCACATGACGTATCGAGTATTGAGGAACCGCTGAGAAGCTAGTTTTTTTTTTCTTTCTTTTTTTTTTTAAAGCGTACTGCTTCGCCTCGCTCCCAGCTTCTGCGGCCCCCCCGCCCCCCTCCCCCCACCCCCGC